AAAAATACGGGTTAATTACCCATATTTTCAAAACATTGTAAATGTCCCTATTTAAAGAGCTGTCTTTGAACAAATTTCATCGAAAACAAAATCTGTCTTCAAAATTATAGTCGTGGGAAGACGACGAACAGTTGTGACGTTTTGCAATTTTCAAAAATGCAGAGTTCTGTCGAAACTGCAACATTTTTAAGCGTCTTTTTCTTTATCCGAGGGCAAAAAGCTATAAAAATGTGAAACTATTTAAGAAAAATAAAAATGAAAAGGGCAAAAAGTTATAAAAATGTGAAACTATTTAAGAAAGATGTAAAAGAAAAGGCTTCGTTTTTTAATCTAATCTCCCAAATCAAAATATTCATTTTAAAATTCACAGAGCAAATTCGATCGATTTTAGAGAAAATCGTTTGAAGAGCATAGTACTTGGCGTTGTACATGAACGGAAAAACACTTTTAACCTTCTCGTATACGTACGTATATATGGGGAAACGTGCAGTGAAAATTCTGTAATGCTGCGGAAAATCGATTTCGCGTTGTCAACGGAAATACACTTTCTGGGATCCCCTGATACCAAAAAAAGTGTTTTGTTATATTTTTCAATGCCTTCGTCCGTGAACAACCAAAGCGCCTAATATACGTAGGAATTTTTCAAAAATTAATATTCCGCGATCGACTCGAGAGCCCTGCGATTTTTAAAATATTTTTTTGAATTTTGAGTATCAGGAAGCCTCTGGAACATTTTCAAAGTTTTTTTTTATAAAAATAGCTCGATTTGTTTTCCTTTAAATTTCATCTAAGAAGAGATTGAAATACACTTATAAAGATAGTAGTATTTTTTCTTCCACTTTCTCCTGACACATAGAAGGGAGCTATTTAACCCAGTATTTCGACTACGTATACCACTCCTCGCTAAATTAGTAAGGACTCCGTTAACGGAACCTATTGTAGGTGCCTAGGTTCCTGAACCACGTCTCTCAAATGGTTTTGCAGTTTGAAACTTTTGCAGATTCAACTGGTATTATTATTCAATGTTATAATTTTTTAATTAATAATTTTTTATAAGACGGTCAATCATTATCAGTCCATATTGAAATACTCGTTTATTTTTTAACATATTCATATACAACGTTTTGAAATCTTATATTATCCTATCTTCAGGTATTTGGCGAAATTTAATGAACTAAAAATTAACTCATTTCAATAACTTGCAAATTTACAAGTTTGACACACAAGACCAATACCGTAAGTTCACCGGAATTTGATCAGTACGGAAGTTAACCAGAAGTAGGGACTACTCCTGGAAATTCTAATTGAAAATTGTAAATTCATTAAAAAAAGACCAAATAGCAAAATGCTGAAGATTTAGGTCGACGTATTTGTATGTTAAACTGGTATGTGGAAAAATCACGTGTCTCGAGAGCGCCAATAATCATTGTCGTCACAGCTCTGTAATCTGGGGTAGGCGTTTGAGCGTGGCGGTACTGGCATAGGTCGTGTTTGCGTTATCGATGAATAATTTATTTTTAGTTCCTTTCCTACGATTTTGAGTAATTTGTTTAAGCAGGTAACAAATTTGTCAGGAGAATGAGTATTGATGATCTCATGGTATTTTGCCGTGGTAACAAGTATTCCAACAGACATCCGCGCGTTATGCATGCATCCGCTCACAGACGATGGAAAACCGGGAACAGAGATCGCTTTTGACATTTCAATTCGTCAGAGAGCTCTATTCAACTGCTTGTTGAAGCGGAAGCGACTGATTAGTTTTAAATTTCTTGAGTCTCTAATAGAATTTTGCGTATTTTTACATCTTTTAACAACTTTTTGTCGTTTTGGTATCTTCATAATATAAAGTCTTCAGTTTTTGTGCTCACTTGGCAAATAAGTGTATGAGCATTAATACTTAAAATGTGTTTACATTAGAAAAGGTATTGATAATGACTGGAGCTGGAGTTTTCATGTAATTATACATTTTTCTGCATGCAATTTAAAAGCTTGTAAACCATGAGTATGTTGAAATTAATGTAAATTAATCATTTTAATTGAATTTTATGTTCAAGTTTTACTTACTTGTATTTTGTTTTCAGTATTTTATTCTTTGTGGGTATTTAATAATGATTGCAATTTCTACTTTTTCGCGCTTCAGAAGGAACTTCTCAAGAAGAGAAAGTTATGTAATGCTGCGGGAAAAATTGCAAATTTTCGGCTGAAAAACTCATATTACAGGGCCCTAATAAAGAAAAAGTGTATAAATCCAGTTGCTAAATTCAGAAATACAGAAAAATTAATAAGTAATTAATAAATTAATAAGTACCCGATACAGAAAAATTGATTGATGTCAAAACGTCTGTCCGTCTGTCTGTGAACAACACTAGAGGCTAAACCGTTCAGCCTACTTTATCCAAAATTTATATTCCTTAATCGATCTGACTAATGTCGTGGCCCCTTGAGCTTGAAATTTATATTTTTATTTTGGGGGTACTTTACATTAATCTCCTGGGACATATTCAATGTCTTAAAAAAATGGCGCCATCGATTTTGATTAAATTTTGTTGTTGAATAGTCTGAAGGACGTTTAGGAGAATGGCGCAGGTCTCATGTTGGTTGAAAACTGATTTTTCGAAAATTGCAAAATTTAAAATTTTTTCGGCGTTTTCCAACAATTATAGTATTGAAGATATAAATTTTCCTCTTAATAAAATATGCTCCTCAAAGGTAGATTTTGATATAAGGGCATGGACAATCTTTCGAAAATTTGCGCATTTTTCGCGTGATTTTGTGTGAATATAGGCAATTTTTATTTAAACAATGTTTTTCTCAAAAACGGCTCCGTAGTTTTTGATGAAATTTTGTTGGTGAATATTCTGAAGGACGTTTAAGAAGGTCTGATGTTGGTTGAAAACTTGAATTTCTTGAAAATTGAATCTTTTTCAGCGTCTTCCTACAACTACAATTATGAAGATACAACTTTTTTTCTTAATGAAATGTGTTTACCAAAAACAGATTTGCAAATAAGGTTATGTTGAACTTTTCGAAAATATGAGTATTTTTGGAGTAATTGGGCGTTAAAAGTTAGTCGCCCGCTCTGAAAATCCTGTGCTTCTTGATCGTAATTTTGGAGGTGTTTTGAAGCGGTTGGATGATACGGAAGTAAAATTAGTTATATATTATTTCATATTTCATTTTAATATTATTTATATAACTTCATTTTAAATTGCATTCTTTAATTGTATTAAATGTGAAAACGAATAGATGAGCGGTCATTGTTGTTGTGACCCATATTGTAATGCCGCCCAGATAACAAAAGGCAATAATGACGACTACTTTCCATTCCCGGAAATAAAAACGAAGCCCTTTATATATTTGTAGAATATTACAATACCATAGTGTTTAATAATTAGTATTATATATTTTTCGATCTATTTGTTTGCCAACGCAATCAGTATCATATTATTAACTTTCAATTATTTTTCTTTCTCGCATTCTGCTTATTTGTCGTACCAAATGTTCTACGATTTCCAATGAGTTTTACAAAAAATCATACGGAGAGAAATTATGGTGTAAATATTATTACATAACCATTACTAATGGCGAGAAAGTACGAGCTGTTTTAGCACCACTAGTTTAATATTACGTTACCAAATACTAAAACGAAATATTTATTAGAATTTGTTATCACGTGAGGAAATATTGAAGGATTTAATTGTTTAGAAGAGTTGAAAAAATACATTTGCCTTCGTCCTCCAACTGTAAAATACAAAAAAGGGGAATGCCTGTCGCAACCTATTGTCATTAATACTTTTCGGAGCTTTCCTAAACATATTGGCACATATCTTGGACTAATAAATTCTGAAAGTTTAATTGGTTATTGCTTTCGAAGATCCTGTGCTTCCTTGCTCGCCGCATCTTGTGCTGATATACACACATTGTAAAGACGTGGAAGATGGAAGTCCAGTCCCATAGCAGGATTTTATATCAATATCAATTTGGTTCTTTAGAAGCCCAGAAGTTTATATTTTAATGTTTTGGTTAACATTTATATTATACGAATGAATTTATAATACACAACATGTTTGCCTTAACGTCACCAGAAAACTAAGGAAAATAGCTACAAAAATCATGGGACAAAATACTTAAAATGTTGTAGAAAATATCCAATGTTGAACTTCAACAACTGCGGGAATCAGTTTGAATAATGATGCAAGTGTATAATGTGTATGGAATATTGACTTTTGTTAATAGTAGGCCATGAATTATTAGAACACCAAGTGTTCTAGTAGCGTTATTACGATATTGTTTTCAGTTTGGTAATGTTTGACATTAGAACACCGAAGTGGATAAACGAATTTTATGGAAAATGTGGTTGAATTGTTAAAAATATATTTCATAATCTAAAATTACTGAAAAAATATTTTCACAAAACTTATTTTTTTGTTCGAATAGTCATTTACTATATTTTAAAAAAATGTTAAACTTCCTTATTGCGCATAAATTGTAAACATTCATGTATTGGGTGTATCAGGTTGTGTCATTATGAAGTATAAATTACAATCCTTGCCATTCTTTCGTGATGGACGAATAATACCAAATCACTTTCCCCATCAATGTATCTGAAAACATTAGCGCGGTTGCGATATACGTACCTTAAACGGCTTGTGAGGTTGGAGGGGGGGAGTAGCGACGAGGGAATGGAATTAACGAAAGGGAAAGGAAATAATATGAAAATATAACGGATAAACTAGAAGATACATTTTTTCAATGTAACATATTCTAAACTTATTTTTATTTAATTTTTGTATTTCCCTAACTGTGGATAATAAATAATCATTAATATTGAAAGAGTAATGTCCAGCCCGGATACAATTGTTTTATGGGGTAATGTGTGAAGAAATAGTTAAACGTATGATAATCACTTTTAATTTAATTGTGAGTAATGAATGTGAACGTACGGGAGGGGCTGTGCCTTGCATAGACCTGTGGCCATTTTGGAGGTAGAGGGTGCGCGCATGCGCATGCATTGGCCTCCCGTACCCCTCGTGTGCTTGTGCCCTAGTGGAAGGTTTGGGGAGGGGGGTGCTCAGCTGGAGGCATCGATCGGTCACTGCACTGGGTCACTCGACGCGACGTTCGTCTCCAAAGGGGAGAGTGTAGTCTAGCTCCTCTCAGCAGCTGAATCATTTTGGGGTCTTCTTTGGATCAGCGAGCTCGATTTTGATCCTCCCAAGCCTTGTTGAGCGTGCGGAATTTTACATTTGACGCTGGGTATGACACTAAGTACTCACTCGTTTTGATGAATCCTTCAGTCCCTCCCAGTTTTCTGATTATCGTTGACTATTATATTATTCGTATTTGCCCAAATGTCTTTCTAAGTCAGACTAAGCATTAGTTCTCTAAAGTCGCGTGGTAATATCTGGGAACGTTGCCATGACTTAATTTATTGTTCTACCAACATTTCCACTATATACGAATATTTTTGTAGAGTTTTTCCAAATTTTATTGTTAAATAATGTTGTTTTCATATTTTAGAAGTAATCATTTAGCTATTTCTCAATACCATTTTTGGCGCATTTGACAAATGAGTTGAATTTCGAGTGACATCTCTGTACATTGAATTAAAAGCTTCCGAGCGCCCCCCCCCCTTAACGATAACTTTTGCAGGAAGTATCGGTGAATGTTTCCACTGTACCTCCAATAATAAACCAAGACATCGCCACACTGAATTCCAAAGGCAGCTGAACTGATGGGAAAATACAGAACAGGTGTTTCGCTCATCGAGACTGGCATAAGACAGGAGTTCCTGGAAAGAACGCCACAAGGCGCATCAGCACTGCATGGGCGGCCTTAAGGGCGCAGTACCGTCCTTTTGCTCCTCGGAGGAGCAGGCAGCCTAGCCCAGCACAACCAGTGATTGGCTCGGTTGGAAGCACAAAGCCAATTTTTTGCTGCTGGTCCTCTCTCCGTACACTTCGGCGGAGTGGCCGCGCAGGGGTCTTCGGTTCCAAGCAACACCATTATTTACGTTGGGTGCTTAGTGAAGCAGGGGTTGTACCATTTCGAAGTAGCTTTTTAAGTGTGGACATGAATTCTGTAAAATACTGTTGGTGGATATAATTTACTTTCAATTCAAAGACGTGCGTTTGTTTCTCTTCTTCGTCGACTACACTGAAAGGAATGCGAACTCCGTTTTCAAAGACTTGTGGAAATGACGGGAAAATTATATTTTTGTAGACGTCAAAATAATGCACGTAAAGTGTTCGGAAATATATGCTTAGAACAGGAAACAATGTATGAAACTCATTTATATGCCCATGATTCATAGAATATTAATGGTGAAATGTAGAGAAGCTTGTGTGGTCATCCGTTGTCACAACAGCATAGGGAAAAAGATAAGATAAAGATAAATTTATTCAAACTTGGGCATAACCCAGTTATTGCAGATGCCAATTATACAATAATAATAATAGTAGTAATAATAATGGCACAATAATAATCACTGTAACAATAGTATCAACTAAAAGACTAACAGTTATAGTAAAATAATAATAATAATAATAATAATAATAATAATATAAAAATAGATTGACTCATAAAACACTCAATTACCGTAAGAAAAATAAACTTCTACAATCGAGCTTCGTACTGAATGTTTGTTCAATTAAGACCACACTGTGCTGGCACTGCACAGCCCATCACATTACATCACTTCACTTCACTTCACTATGACTTAAATCACTTTCTTCATTATTTCTCTGCTCTACACTGTACGATATCTCACCTCACAATATATTACTAATGCTTCGCTCTGTAACCTACTATTCTTAGTTCAGTCTCTCGTTTACGTAGTAATATCCTAAATTAATTTCCTTAACTGTTGAACGCTTCGAGCAGAGGGTTCAAAGGTTTTGCACGCATTTTATTACATTCTTTTATCGTTCGATTTGTGAAAGAAAATTTCCCGACATCCGTTCTCTGCTGCCTTAAATTTATTTTGTGCCTATGATTCCCCCCCCCTGACGTATGTAGGAATACTTAGCCGCCGATTAATTTCTTTCCAAGCTGGATGACCGTTATAAGTTTTATACAAAGCGCAGAGTCTTGTCACTGATCGCCTGTTTTCGAGTGACTCCCATCCTGCCATTATCTTGTCCCTGAAAGTAAAGTTAGCTGCCCTATGAATTCTATCCAATTTTTTACTCTCCATAATTTTGTGCGGATCCCAACAAATTGTTCCATATTCCATTATTGGACGAACAAGCGATGAATAAGCAATTTCCTTCGCGTTTGCCGTACTCTTTTTTTGAAGGTGCGCATTACAAAGTGTACAGATCTCCAGACAGGAAAGACAAGAAAGGGACAAGATGAAAGCAGCACCTGCGGTAGATCGGCGGGCGGGAAAAGCCAGTGGAAGGGCAGGCAGGCGCACGCAACGCTCCTGTGTGTGTCGATAACTGAAGCAGCGCTCCTCATCGGTGGTAGATTTTCTGCGAAAATACTGGACTATTTCACAGTCCATTGCTTAATCGAGATATAACCAAATGTCATTTCCTATTGCCATGTATTAAAGTCTTCGCCCATCTCATCAGAACACGGAATCATTAGAGATGATCGAAACGGTTGTGATGAGTACTAAATTTCTAGGTAGAAAGGTGAATCCCCTCAACACTGTTTACTGACTACAAAACGTTTTAAAGTTGTTGGAAATGGGAATGCGAAGTCTCGGCCGCAGATAAACGCGACGGGGAGGTTATCTAATGCTTCCCGGCGTCGGGTGATTTGGCTCTGTGGGATCCAGTGACCTCCTGCCCTCTGTGATTGTGCCACGCTCTCTTCCAGATACTGGAGATCGACAGTTTTTCCTGACCTTCCTTTGTCCTTGATCTATTTTTCCATTCATTAGTTATACCGTTCCTTTTTCGTCCTGTTATAAGACGTTTGTACCGGGATTCAAAGGCAAATAAATGTCCCCAAATAACCGCTTGACTTTAAGGCAGTTCGACTTTTGGGGAGACATTTTTTGTCAGAGAGGAGGGAACGTTTATTTCCAAGGATGGTCACGAATTCCCAATGTAAAGGAGGGAGGACAAGGAACTGCAGTGGTGCCGCGAACGGAGTGGACGCAGTCGCTGGGGGAGGGGCAAGGGAAAGATGCGCGATATGAAAACATAACGGGAGATTTACGCTGACACATGCAGCTTTGATGGCTCTGGAGCGCAAGCTTTGCGTCACGGTGGACGTTGTCAGGTACGACGTTTGCGTCCATTTCCTCGCCGCCCTCGCAGCGCCGGCTGGCGTTTCGTGAAGAGCTGCAGAGCTCCTGCCTTCGCCTGAAGCCCGCCCGCTTCACTCGTCTGCCACATCGACCGCCAGCGGAGCATGGCGTGCGGGTGCTTCCGCCTTTGCTCCACAGCACTCTGCTCTAACATTGCAACACATTGCAGCCCTTCAGATTCTTTTAAATGGTCGGCATATACGCTTGTCTTCCACGTAATGTTTAATGAAGCACGAGGAATAAACTGAAAATCCATTTTTATTGGTTAAATGTTACTGATTTCACTTTTTTTTACAATATTTTTTTTTCCTTTTTCATTATTTTTCGTTCTTAAGTAAATACTCGCCTTTATTATAAAGTATATCGTAAACGCTCATTGATGTACCTTTCGTTCAGCCTAATGGTGGCAACGTTGGAGCAGAGGTTCAAGTAATTCTTCCCTCTGTTGTGAATAAATTGGCGGTCTGAGTTTTGTGCGCGAGGGGGAAGGATATTGTGTTAGAGATCTTTCATGTTGGCCATTGTGCCTGCACACCTGTAAATGTTTCTGGCTTTTCAGTTCCACCTTCGACGAAAAACGCTTGGGCCTGAATGAATTAGTTTTGCCAATATAGTAGTGTAAGCGAATTGAATAAAGTGAAATGAATATTAATATTTTTTTATTTTAATTATTAATCGTTTTATACAGATTTTTAACTACATAAAGGAAATTATTGAGGTTGAAGTCGTCATTCTTCAGAGGTGTGGATACTGATCGTGTCGTAACAAGTATATTTAAGCAGTGCGGAAAGACATTTGAAATTTGGGACGAAAGTAAAGGGTCATGGCGCGGAGATGAAGGCTTGGGGCTTCTCGGGCGGGCGCGGCGGGGGAAGGGACTAATGAGCTTAGTTCGCTCCGCTCTGCGCCACTCCGCCTCCCCCTTCGGCTCTGCAGTGGCCGCTATGTTCGCGTTCGGCGCGCGCAAGGCGGTCAAGTACTCGAGCATCGCGACGCTCAGCAGCCTCGGTGGCCACGTGGTGGCACTCGACGTGGACGACACCGTCTCTTGCTTCTGCAGGTAAGCCTTCGGAGCAATGTGCGCCGATAGTGTAGGGAAATTGTCGCAGACACTATAATACGCGGGGTGAAAGGGCGATGCCTCGCATAGAGGCTGTCGTCCCCGTCAGCTACTGAGCGCTGCTGGCCGATAGGAAAACTTTTTGACTGTTGTAATTTTTCGTGCGCACATCAATTAAAGAAAAGAAGGTCTTGGGCCCCGGACCTCTGGATTAGACCCAATTAACTTATTAACATGAAGGGCATTTGAGTGTCAAAGTATTATAATATTTCAACTATAAAAGTATTGTTATAAATAATAGTTATTTTACGAGCACTTTTCAATTGTTTACATAATTAATAAGCAGAACTAATTGATAAATATTTCGACGCATGTCTCCTTCAAATGCTTTTCAATCATAAGGTAAACAAAATCATAATACACCATTGAAACAGACCCGGTTATAATGGTCATCCAAGGAAAGCAATATTCACTTCATTTCAGGTATGAAATACGATTGTATATTAGTTTAATCAGCCATGGCGATGAAATTGTAGGAATTTGTATCGTGTGATTCATGCAATATAGAGTCTAATATATATATATATATATATATATATATAGTTATATATATATATTACTATTATATGATTCGACTCTGGTTATAGTGAACGCACATATAGTGAACTCTCGGTTATAGTGAACCTATGTCACTGGTCCCATTTCACTTACATTACATATAAGCACAAGAGAATTAGTTATAGTGATCCCTGAACCTCGGCTATAGTGAACTTCGGAAATACAACGTCCCGAGAATTAATACCCTAATGGAAAAACGTATATCACCCCAGTGCGACAAATTCTACTACTAGGCAGCATGGAAAAAATATCATCGGCCAAAGGTCATAACCGAAGAAGTCTCCCCTGAGGTGGAGATAGCGGACCTTACTGATGGCCTTGTGCCATTCAGTTACACTGCGGAAAAAAGGCAGTGTCCTACGTGGGCTACAACTGGCGGCATAGTCGCGTAACTCCTTGCTTCAGCTTCAAGCTTGATGTTGCTTGAGATTTCGAAGAACAAAGGGCGTGGTGTTCTACATAGGCGACAGGAAGCACGCGACTGACACAGCCACACAGTCTAGCGACAACTATCGCGTCGCGCGAAAAAAAGATCAGTTCCATTAGCCTCTTGCGCCATAACGCAAAAATCTCGTATTTTATTAGGCGAGAAAAAGGGCCTCCGCAAAGTGAGACGGTGTTCCAACAGTGCAAGAGGCATTAAAGAGTGCCAAGACTGCATTTTGATACTTAGATACAGTGGACAATGTAAAATAAAGTACGGAGAGAGCACGAATTCGTAATAAGGATCTAGGGAAATTACTACTGAAAAAGCAAACTCTGTAAAATAATTTATTTTTTGAGGTCAAATAAAGACATTTTAATTTTCAGTTCGTGCTGGTAATTTATTTTGCTGTATATCTGTATTAATAAAATCAATAATAAAGTGGAGAAATTCTGTTTAATTTGACAACATTGGATATAGTGAACCAACAATAATAGTCCCCAGTATTTCACCGTAGCTG